CCAAATATGAAAAGGGGGCAATGGGGTTCCTATGATTTAAGTCAGGGGTTTTCAACGTTTTTTAAGGAGAGTACCCCTTCTGGTGGGTACCCCCTTCCGGACGTGAAGCAGGGGGAGAAAGGGTCCCCCCGGCAGCCAAACGCAAAGCAGCAACAGCGATGGTGTGGCAGCAGCAATGATGCGGCAGTGTGCAGGCACACGGAAACAGCAGCGGCATAGCAGAGTGCAGGCACGTGGCAGCAGAGCTTCCTAAATAGCCCCGCTTCTGCGCGCTGCTACCACATCCTCCCTGGGGCCTTCTCAAGTACCCTCAGGGGTACACGTACCCCCAGTCGACAACCCCTGATTTAAGTTTACCATAGACTGCAACACAGATTCACCTGCAGAGAAAGCTGCTCCTCTTTGGTGGGAGGTTTTTTGAACAATATCAACTTTAAAGCCTGGATGACTAACCATCAAAATGGAAGAAGTGATTATGCTGGTTCAAGCGGGGTCTGCCTTCTGCTACTGCCACAGGCCCCAAGTTCTCATCCAGGTTCTCTCTTTGGTGGTCTTCTCTAACCCGATGACTGTCTGTGATATTAAGAGACATTCTACAGGTGGGGCAGGACGTATCCTGTTCAAGCCAGGATCTTAGGCATGAGCTGACAAGAAACAAGGCAACAAAGTACCAATGAGCTTACAGTGCTTGTCTAAGGCATCAATATCATGAGCAGACTGACAGGTAGCAGTATATTCCATTTAGCTTATTAACACATCCATGTCAACACCCCAGAGACATTTTCAAATTCCTTGAAGGCTTCCAACCAGAACTACAGCTTGCTTGCTCTTTTCAACCAAAGAGAGAGTACTTTGCTTCCATAAACTAACTTCCAAGCAAACCCTCTCCACCTCTAGAGAACCTCAGTAATTGGCCAACTAGTAATTCAACTTGCCCAACTAGCTCAGAGCAGGTAATTTCTACCTGAAAGGGGAAATATAATGATTCTTTAGCATCAGTGATAATAATAACCAAGTAAGCAGATTTTGTGGTTGGACTGGTTAATCTTCAAGGTAGTCTCATTAGACTGGCCTGGTGTTCCCACTCCAATGAACTGCCTCAACGTTTTTCTTTAAATATTTAGTTTTATCCATATAGTTATGGAGCATGAGAACTTGATAAACAGAAAAAAAAATCACTGATGCAAGTGAAAACATATTCAGGGAGCCCTTTACATAAATGCTAATAATTAATATAGCTTCTGCTACTGAAAAAAACAGAGATTGGAGTTCCAGAACTCAGAATTTCGCCAAGCACTTTGCTTCCTGATTGAGACTGGACTGACCCAGTTGTGAAGTTTTCTCCATTCAAAATGTTTTTCTTTTACAAAGGTTCAATATACTTTCTTCAAACATTTTAGCATTCTAGTCTACTTTGTACTTGCATAATGTTTAGCAGCAGAGGATCTCAGTGCATGTTATTGAAGCAATTAATAAATATAACATCCATTTTACATGTTGTAAAACTCAAGTAGACATCAGTCAAGTGACTTGCTCAATATGCTAGACTACTAGTCAGAGGCAAATGTTCTAAATCCAGTGGTTCATGCAGTCTAATTAAACTGGATAAACAACTATCTGATAGCCAGATGAGAGTAATGGACACGCTAGAAATGGCAAAATGGATGCAGTGAAAAATCTACATCAACTTGGTCCTCCAGAGAATGCACCAAGAAGCACATTAATGTTACCAATGCTGTTCCATCATTGAATACAGCCATTTATTTGCTCATATAGCAAATAAATCTGAGGTATTGCTGAGAAAGCAAATTCAAATCAAGCTCTCCTAAGAGCTATAGATGGAACTTTCAAAGAGACCTAAAAGATGTAGTTGCCCAATTCTTATTATAATTTAGTAAGATTTGGGCACAAGGCTGATCTAAACTATATGAATCTGCCCTGCTGTCTTTTTGCACCCCAAGATAAATGACTACACACTCCTGTACAACTGAGGACAGGAGAAAATGCTTCATGTTTTGTCTGGTAGTATCAAAAAATAAATTGAAAGGAGAAAATTAATTCTTAGTAGATAAAAAGGTTAATTTATTTGATCATTTATTTTACATATGAGTTAAATAATCCAGTTTAACATGCTGCCTCTCAACTGTTGGCTTCATGCAGCTGAGATTAATCTAGCTTCAGAGAGAATGCAGAGATACCATTTAGGTACATGGGAAACCATTTCTCCTAAGAGGAGAGCCAGGGCTTCTTAAGTGCATGGCTGATGATTAAATATGCATAGGGTTCTCTAGCTTTATAAGAATTTCTGCAACAGCAACAAATTCTCTCGTTAGAGGCTTACTGGAAGGCAGATAAATATTTATGACAAGGTTTGCAGTGAACAACAACAAATTAGCCCCCAGATTATAACCTTTGGTTTGATGATAAACTGTCAAAAGAGCCACAGAAGGAGTGATTAACAAAGGGTGGTGGCTCATATAAACCACAAAAAATGAATTTAAGTGGCTCTTCAAGTAAATCAACCTTCATCTTTAAGTTCCTGCCTCCATAGCCAACCCCCATTTTTTTAAACACATGGCTGGAGTATTGTCCGTCTTCTATTTTTCTTTAGCATCCAAAAAGCAACGTTGAACAGAGGTTGGGATAAGCGATAAAGGAAACCAAATTAGCAATGCTCAAATCATGCTACGTTACACTTCCTGTAATCAACCAATTCAACACTGCCACTTCCCCAGATACATACTTGTGAAAGAGGTGCCCACATGGAAGTTTACGTGCAGACTGCATGGAGTCCCAGCAAATGGCACAATCATCATTATTAACAGCGAGTTCTTCAGGAGTTGCAACTGCAAACCTACAAAGGAAAAAAGACAAAGTAATTGATTACACAAACCCCAATACAGCTACAGAACTAGCAGCTGTTCCACCAAAAAGCCTAATTCTTTACACTCACCATTCCCTCTGGGAGAAGGTGAAGCAGTAGTTTGCAGTCTTTTCCAAAGCCCAACACCATATTACAACAGCAAAAAAAGTTTGAATCTATCACCTAACAATTCTGGCACCACAGCATTATCTGCCTCAAAAGGGACCTGTCTTCACTCTCCCTAAGGCCTTGATTACTAGGCTGAGACCTCCCATGTACAGTGTTGGCTCAAGAAAAGGTGATACTTCTTAAAACCAATGCAGTTGTTTACATCAACTTGAAGATTATTTTTCTTTTAGGTGTAAGTGATGGTTTCAGGCATTTTTTTCGACACTTCAGTACAAACTTTGCAATTTTGTGTCATGGGCAAACAGCCAACCTCTGTGCGGATGCTACATTAGCAACACTACAGTAAGGTCACTTTATGGAAGAAACGCACTCACAGGCAGGATGATGAATCCTGCCAACAGTTTCACGAAGAATCTTTCAATATCTTGCAGAGAAATCATAGAATGCCTGCAGCATGTCTAGGCCACAAGTTTCTTTTGTCCAGCAGCAGTGCCCTCAAACACACTACACTGCTCCCAGTAGGCTGTCTCCTGACCCAAGTAGCCACCTCCATGCAGGTTCTGTGGGCTGGTTAATTAGCACAGTTGAATGACAGTGCCAGTTTGCTCACTCGCAGCACGGTACAGGCACAGCTACACTGCTTCTGGTTTCAGGAACATCCCACACAGCACAGCAAAATGTATGAAGATATCATTCCAAGGTACAGTAAGTTCACTCTTGAGAGCTAACTGATAGGGTTGTGCTAAGCTTGGTCCCCAATTTGATTTAGCAGAGATTCATCCTGATTCAGTGGCTGAATCTCCAAATCCAAATCAAATCAGAAGACCCTTTAAATTCTACAAATTGAATCGGAAACCTCCGAATCAATTCAGAGAGATTCGGAAAGATTCAACAATTCAGAAATAAATAACAGCTTTAAATGTTTTTTCTACCATACCTCACGGTACTAGATGACTTGCAAATGCTGCAATGCTGGGGCAGATGGAGCATCCCACAGGAGTGCAGGGGGCTCCCAGCGCACTTGGCAGCAGACTCAAAAGTGGACCAGAAGCACTTCCAGGTCTGCCAGGGACCATGCTGGGGGGCCTCCCTGCACCTCCCTGGCTCAGTGGTTGATGCATCCTGGGTCTGGAGAAGCACCTGGGGACCCCCAACAGCCGAATGCCAAGCTGCAAGGCACGGGGGGGGGGGGGGGGGGGCCTCTCACACGCTCCCTTGGTGGACCCAGAAGTGGACCGGAACTACTTCCGATCCACTTCCAGGTTTGCCGCTGAACACGCGGGGGTCCACCCCCCACGCTCTTGTGGGATGCTCCATCCACCCCAGCATCGCAGCATTCACAAGCCGCACCTGGTACCTCAAGTATGTAGAAAAAACATTTAAAGCTGTGTCTATGGCCGAATCTCTGATTCTCTGAATCAGCATCGAATCTTCAGATTCGGATTTGACCGAATTGAACTGGGGACGGTGATCCGAATCAATGAATCACTGTCCCCGATTCAGGCCAAATCCGAATCAAATACGACCTGTCTTGCACACCCCTACTAAGTGACCTAAAAGTCTAGTGCTGAATTAGTGATGAACACACCTCAAGGATAGCGAGATCCACTTGGATCCCTGGTGTGAATGATTGAGACTACATAAAGAAAGAGTTCTATTACTGACTTTGCTATCACTATCACCATAGCTCAACTGGGAGAGTTAGATTAAAGATCTAGAGACTCCTTGTTGAATTCTGAGCATCCACATACCTCTTATCCTAATCCTGCCCCAATAGATTATTACTTCCAGTCCTACTATTCTGGAATCCTGAAACTATTTTAAATCTAGTATAACCTCAATTCCAGGGTTGCTTTTAAAAGCGTGAAAAATCCACAGAATTCAAAATGGTAAAGAATTTTACTGAAACCCATAAAAGGAAAAAGGAAAGGTAACAATAATGAAGAGATCAACCAGTCTTCAGTGATATGATATTCTGCATGCACTTTCCCATATATAATGCTATGAATTCAAAGTATTCCCATATATAATACACTTCAGCCTTTTCTCAGATCATGCATGTCTCCATGCCAACCTGATGCTTCAGCTTTAACCCCGAGATGAAGGCATTGTCTATACCAAACACACTACATTAAAAAAATAAATCTAGAAATAATTCTTTAAACACATGCTCTTAGACATGATTAAACTTTGCTTAAAATCAACATAGCTTTCATTTGTAAATTACTGTTTTATGGACAAATCCTAATAGCTTAATCCTAATAACTGAAGGCTGAGGAAAACTTTCTGTTTAAGATACTGATCCAGCATAAGTTGGTAACTTACTGACCCAAGCTCAATATAAAACTATCAACTACTTGCAGTGTTTTGTACTGATTAGTTAGGTTGCTCTTAAGTTATTTTAGATACACGAGCAAATGTTTCTAACATGGAGAAGGCCAAAGTTTGACAACTGGGATTTAGAACTTTAAACCTCTCATTCCTTCCCCAGTGCCAAAGGACAGATCTACACATTCATTAATGTGCTTTAGGTAATATGCATTAAATCTAGTACCTCAACTGTACGGTACTAGAAAATGCACATTAGGCTATTTTAATGCGCATTAGCTAAAGAGCACTTTTGTGATGATTTAAAGTACATTAAAATAGGCTAATGCGCATCGAAGTACACATGCAGAAGAGCCCAAAGATTATAAATAACCGTTCCTGGATAATTCTCTGCAACTTTAGTTACTGGTTACAATGTTATAATAAAAGTGAAACTCAGATTTCTAATAAGCATGAGAGGTGGCAAAATAAGCACAGAGGATGGCAAAATAAACTTTAAAAATTGCTGCTGGCATGATATAAGCATAAAAACTTAACAACTTGTTTAGCAAGTTTGGGCCTCCCTAGCCCATACCTATGATACACACTGAAGGAACACAAGACGTATTAATCAAGAGGTTCTCTCTTCAGGATCTAAATCAGCATTTGAAACTCACTTGAGCCTCTCACCCATCATTTGCTCACCTGGCTTCCATGTTTCCAACCACACGCAGGTAGTTCTTATGACGGCGGATTCTACGCTGAACCTCATGGAACAGATAACGTAGCTGCATAAAGATCACCAGGCTGGCCATCGACAACCAGATGTTGCCAAATAGCTTTTTAAAAAAAAGGAAAAAAAAAAAAAAA